TTCTAGGTGGCACAGTAGATAGAGCCCTGGGCCTGAAGTCAGAAAGACCTGAGTTCAAATCTGACGTCAGACATTTACTAAGTGACCCTGGGTAGTCACTTAACCTTTGTCTCAGTTTTCCCAACTGTAAAATGGGGATCATAATAGCACCTACCTTCCAGGATCAAATGAGATAGTATTTGTGAAGTGCTTAGCACAGTTTCTGACACATAACAAAATGCCTTCTTTTCCTCCTTTTTTAATTTCATCTCCTCCTCTCCCTTTTTCTTTTCTCCTCTCCTCCAATGAAAAAACCTTGATATTAAATATTAGCAGGCAGTGATACTTATTTGTGACTATTTATTTACCTGTAAGTTGATTTCATCACATAAAGCACTGTAACTCTACGCCAAACCTTGGAGATGTTGTGGGATTGGTTCCAGGCCACTGCAATAAAGCAAATATTACAATAAAGCTAGTCATACAAATTTTCTGGTTTCCCAGGGCATATAAAAGTTATGTCTGCACTATACTATAACCTATTAAGTGTGCAGTAGTATTATGTCTTTAAAAATGTACATATCTTAATTAAAAATACTTTATTACTAACAAATGCTAAGCATCATCTTAGCCTTTAGCGAGCCCTCATCTTTTTGCTGGTTGAATGTCTTACCTTAAAGTCGATGGTTGCTGATTGATCAGGGTGGTGGTTGCCGAAGGTTGGGATGGCTGTGGAAATTTCTTAATATAAGATAATAATGAAGTTTGCCCCATTGATTGACTCTTCCTTTCACTTGAACACTTGGAAGCCATCATAGGTTTATTAATTGGCCTAATTCCGATAATGTTGTGTCTCAGGGTTGAGGGAGGCCCAAGGAGCGGGATGAGGGGGAACAGCAGGTTGGTGGAGGAGTCGGAACACACACAACATTTATCGATTAAGTTCACCATCTTCTGTGGGCATGGTTTGTGGTTCCCCCAAACAATTACAACAGTAACATCAAAGATCACTAATCACAGATCACCATAATCGATGTAATAATAATGGAAAAAGTTTGAAATATTGTGAGAATGACCAAAATGTGACCCAGAGACATGGTGTGAGCAAATGCTGTTGGAAAAATGGCGCCAATGGACTTGCTCAATGCAGGGTCGGTCGTCATAAACTTTCAATTTGTAAAAGTCACAGTATCTGCAAAGTACAATAAAATGAAGTGCAGTAATGAGCTATGCCTGTGTAGATTTGAGTCCCTTCTGCTAAGTCCCCTTCAGCATTCTTTATTCATTCATTCTGATTTACTTTTCCTCCTATGACTATAGTTAGTGGGGATTATATTCTTCTGTTTTTTATTTGCTTTGCATTGCTTCATAAAGGGCTCTCCAGATTTCTTTGTATTCCTCATCGTTGTCATTTTAATTACATTCCAGTACTCCATGACATCAATATACCACCATTTAGTTAATCATCACTCTATTTTTGGATATGTAGGCTGCTTTCAGGGTTTTAAAAAAAATATGCGCAATGCTGCTATGAAAATCTTTCAACAGAGAGCTCTCTTTTTGGGATACCACTTCAGGGGATAATCCTGAAAGTGGAATTACTGTGTCAAAGGGTAAGACTATTTTTGTAACTTTTACTGTATACTGCCAGATTGCTTTCCAAAAAAGGTTGACAAATTTGTCATTCTACCATTAGGGAATGAGTGTTCCTGTTTTTCCACAGCCCTGCCATCATTGACTTTTATTACTGATAATGATTTTTGACAATTTGACGTGTGTGTGCTTGCATTTCAGTTTTTAAAAATTTGTCTCTCTAAGTGGAAGAAGGATTGTATGGTAGAACAAGCACTAGCATTGTAGTCAGAGACCCAGAGTTCAGATCCTGACTCTGTTTCTTATGATCTGGGTGACTTTGAAAAAAAATCACTTATTCTCTCTGGGCCTCAATTTCCTTCCTTGTAAAATGAGGTAATTAGATGATGCAGTGGATGGAGTGCTGGACCTGGAGTCAAGAAGACCTGAGTTCAAATCCAGCCTCAGACACTAGCTGTGTGACCTTCAGCAAATCCTTTAACCTCTGTTTGCCTCAGTTTCCTCAACATTAAAATAAAGATAATAATAACACCAACCTTGGAGGGTTGTTGTGAGGGTTATGTGAGATAATATTTATAAAATGCATTTAGCACAATGCCTGGACACTATATAAATACAAATGATGATGATGATATTTATTTTGGGGTTGGACTACATTGTTTCTGAGGTCTCTTCTACTCTAGGTCAAGGATCCTATAAGCCTATAATGGGGCCTTAGTTTTTCTCATCTTCAAAATGAGAGGGTTGAAACAGATGCCCCTCCGAGGTTCTTCTCAGCTTTGTCATACTATGATTCTTTGAATCCTTTAAATAGAATCACAACACCAGCAACAGCTAACATTTATATCCTTAACTGATAAAGTGCTTCATAGAAATTATCTCATTTGATCTGGGTAGAGAGAATTATCCCTATTACACAGGTGAAGAAATTGACAAGGTGACTTTTCCAATGTCACTTATCATAATTTGGAAGCTAGCTATTGTTTCTGAAGTCACTAGTCATTTATAGAACAAGTGTTTATTAAGCATAGGCTATGTTCCAGACACCATTCTAGGGCTAGGGCTTGATGAAAAGGAAATAGGCCCTGCCCTCAAGAAACTTATATTATCCTGGGGGAGATACATGTACGGAGATAGTAAATGTGCCATACAGACAAAGTAAACACATCACATGTACAAAGTAAACACACCACATATACAAAGTAAATGTGTCACATATGCAAAGTAAATGTGTCATATATGCAAAGTAAACATATCCCTTATACAAAATAAATGCGCCACATATACAAAGTAAACGGCCAAGAACATGGCACGTTTACTTTGTATATGTGGCATAAGGTAAACACACCATACATTCAAAGTAAATAGCAATTTTGAAGGCAAAGGATCCCTTCATTAGCAATGGTGAGATCAGGGTAGACCTCATGTAGGAGGTGGCACTTGACTTCTGCCTTGAAGGGAGAATCTAAGAGGTGGGGGTGGGGGGGCCATTCTGGGCATGAGACATAGCCATGAGCAAAGGCCCTGTGCCACCTAGGATGATGCCATTCTGTGATAGGATGACAGGCACTAATTCCTATAATTTCTACTCAAGTTCAAATTGAAAGCGTTTTCTCAAATGTCCTTGAGTGTGATGCCTTAAATCCCCGAGATGGGACAGAAATAGCCTTGAGTTCAGTTAGAATTAAATTAGGCTGCATAATAAATAACCGCAGCAATCACTTGGGGGTCAGGGTCCCACTTTCTTGGCACCAACACAGGGATTTGGAATTTTCTCCTAAATTAAAAATGTCGATCAATTCAAGTCATCAGTGCTTTTACTTCCAAAGTAGGAAAGCCAGAATTTTCAGGGGGTGGATGGTTCTGGTTGCTTGTCCTCCATCTCAAAGAACAGTGTGGGTGGACACTCATAACTTCCCCTCCTCCTTTCAGAGCCCCCATTTTCACCTGTGGTAGCTAATTGAAGCATCGCATAATTCCAACCACTTGTTATTGTCCAGGCAGGCCCACCCAAGGATGCATTAACCTTGTTTTCCCCCCTCATAGAGCAATATCCAGAAAAAAAATAGAGCAACATGAAATGAATAAATACGCATTTAGGAAGTACTTGTTTTATGTTTTGAGCACCCTGCTAAGCATTGGTGATATGAATACAAAAACGAAACATTCTTACCTTCAGGGAGCTTACATTCTAATGCAGAATCCCAGGGGTGGTATTAGAACCTTGGAGGACCTCTGTCTGGGAGTACTGGGAGGGTTGATGTGATTATGTGCCCAGAGTAAGAGGTGAATGAGAGGGGCAGGGCTGGAACTGGTGGTGGCTAGCAGCAAGATGGTTGAGGCTGGGGTATGGCCCTGGTGAGATGTCCTGGGCTACTCGAATGTGTGCTCATGCTCTCACCAATAAGGATGGCATGGCCCCAGAGTGGGAACTCCAAAGCTTGGTAGCTTAGCTTAAGCATAGGCATGACATCTGGCAGTGGCAAGCTGGGTGGCAAAAAGAAGGCCAGGGTGAAGCCGAGGAGCCAGTGGCTGAGGCTGTGCCCAGAAGGCCAGCCTTGGAGTCCAGAGGATCCAGGTGCAAATCCTGCTTCTGACCCAGAGGGGATAATAGACTATGTGACCAAGGCACCTCTCAGTGCTGAAGTCAACATTCTGAGACTGTAAGTTACTGTCGAGTCATTACCAGCAAAGGGAGTTCTGTTCCTGCAGTTTCCTACGTGGATGAAATCACAAGCTTTCTTCCTTCGCTCATAAAATAATAGCCAGTGGTATTCATATAGTACTTTAAGGTTTTAAAAGTGCTTTCCACATCAATCAATCACTATCAATCGATCAATAAGCATTAAGTACCTACTATGATCAAAGGCACTGACTGTGCCAAGGGCTAGGGATGCCCAAAGAGGCAAAAGATACTCCCTTCTCTCAGGGAGTTCACGGTCCAATATCAATCTTACTTGGTGTAATAACTTCTGTGTATTTCTTGGTCGCCACCTAAAAAAGTGTGGAATTATGAATTCTGTCTTCAGGCCAGAGGTTCATCTCGATTTCATCACATTATTAATGACCATTATGCTTCAGTATTTAAAGGATTTTCATAAATACTTGTGATCCTGAGGAAGAGAGGCCTGGAGAGCGCTTGGGAGCTTTTGTCAGTCCGTCCTTCTGCTTTCATGTGGGGGTGGGGAGCCGATGAGCACCGAGCCAAGGGGCAGGAGCAGAGGGAGAAAGCATAGATTGCACAGTCAAGTTAACATTGGCATTTTTTTTTTGAATGAGGATGTCTTTCAGAATTCTTTATGTAAAGTTGAATTTGTATAATGAGAATTTACATAAAGCTAGACCTGCCTGCATGTCCACTGCCCGCCTGCTTCTTCCGCCAGGAACCTTGCTGGTCCACGCTAACGTCCTTCTATTTATAATTACAGCGTCGATGCAGAAACACCATACCTGGCCCTGGGAGCCGTAAAGAATCTTTCTCTTAACATTTCCATTTCCAACCTGGGGGATGATGCCTACGATGCCAATGTTTCCTTCAATGTTTCTCGAGAGCTGTTTTTCATCAACATGTGGCAAAAGGTAAGTCTACTCAAACCCCGACTGTGGCCCTCCTCCGTTCCAAGATTTTGCCATCTCAGAGCAGGACACCTTGATCTCCTCCCCCATGGACGTGTTTGGGTCCTGAGCAGGGGGATGACTTTGTTTCTCTGCTTGGAAGGTGATTCAGATACAGTCAAAGATGATAATTACTGATAGGAGCTGCCCTAGTTTGTCACTGTTGCCCGTGGATTTAAAGGGGGATTTCATCAAAGAATCAGACCAGCCAGGAATACAAGACAATAGGCCTTTTTTGGTGCTCTTGAACTCACACAAAGGAAAGCTGGATGGTTTAATGTGAGATGCCCTGGGATGGGAACTCAGAGCGGGAGACAAGGGCAATATGGGAAGGATTGGAGGCTATCGTCTGCCTTCCAGACTCTAGGGCAGCTGCCAACATCTCCAAAGCAGGATGAGGAAGGGCAAGGAAGGGAGAAGGAACTTGGTGGAGTGGATAGGGCACTGGACTTGGAGTCAGAAAGATCTGGTTTCAAATCCTGCCTTAGAGACATACTGTCTGAGGGACCTTGGCAAGTCATTTGATTTTTCTGTACCTCGGTTTTCTTGTATATAAAAAGAAGATGTTGGACTCAGTGGTCTTGAAAGTCCCTTCTGATCTAAGTCTATGACCCCATGGATCAAGACACTCCTTGGAACCTTGGATACACAGATCTGCAGGGGATGGCAGGACGATGACAGTCCTAGGACAGGCTGCCCCCTGGGTTTGGGGCTCCATTCCACCTAATTTTTACCATGCCTGCCAGACATGAGGGCACCCTGGGGATGCTGAAGAGGGTCAGAGGATTTTATAGGAAGGGGCACATTCTTGCCACATTGGCTGGGGAACTGGATGTTTCTAGGAAGGATAGTTCCCAACATAGAAAATCACAGCCACAAATGAGAGGGGCTGCCAGGTGGGAGAAGGGAGTATTTGTTTAGAGCTTAGATAGTTTTTCATAGGAAAGGCTAGGCCTGGAAAACCAGGAAGGCTTTTTGGATGACTGCCGGAAAGGAGAAGACCATGTTGATGAATGCTTAGGGAAAATAGAATGAAAAGGTTCCTTGCTCTGATCAGAGATGGTGCTAATGCTATTGAGTTCATAGGATGAAGGATTTGAAGCTAGAAGGGACCTGAAAGGCCAGTTACTTGAACCTCCTCCTTTTGTAGAACAGGATACTGAGGCCTATAGAGATAAAATGACTTGCTCCAAATGACACAGATTCAGAGTGGGAGGACTTGTTTCTGAACCCATGTCTAACTACCAGTATGGCGGCCATTCCTCTGCATTGTCTCTGCAGTCCCCCCCCCCCAGCTCTATTGTCCTAGAGCCCTACAGAGCACACAGGTTGGGGGTAAGCTTTAAGCTACTCTGCTCCTTCCCCTCCTCTATCCCCCCTACCCCTTTGCCCATCCCTTATATATATATGTATGTATATATATGTATATATATATGTATGTATATATATATATGTATATGTGTGTGTGTGTGTATATATATATATATATATTTAAAAGCTGAAAAGGAAGAATTGTATTTTATTCTTTTTTAAAACCAAGGCTTATGTTACAACTTTTAAAAAGTACCCTTTAAAGGGAGAAAATGTTATTTTGATAAATATACCCTGTATGTATGTAAGGAGGAGGGGGGCAGGGTGAAAAAAAAAAGGACTTAATGGGAGTTAATAGGAAAATTACCATGAAAGAAGCAGGTCCAATTATGGTGACATCCTCTTCAAGGGGCCACTGCTGCTTTTTATTTTCTGTCAGTCTTCAAAGGGCCCAGACTTGACCCTAGTAGCCTGAGGAAGGATCCAGGCTGCTTGTGGATCTGGCCCAGGCCTCATTTGTAGATTCTTCTCAGCCTCTCTGGGCACCGCTAGGGTCAAGGGCTTCTTGGGAAATCGAGAGCCCAGGGCTCTTTCTCACAGTCTTGATGGACATGCTGACTTCCCTTCCCCTCCCCCCCTTTCCTGGTAGAGTCACCAGAGCCCCTGGGATTTTCCAAATGTAAGCATTCTGTTTCCAGAAGTTTAGCACTTTGGGAAGGTGGTCAGCCTCCTTGCACACAGTTTTAACAATAATCAAAAAAGTGTGAAGCATCTCTTAGTTAGATGAGTTAGTTAGAGAGATCCAGGAAATTGGGAGGTGGTACCCTTTCTGAGGTTTTATTGTAGCTATAATTGAAATACGTAGGATGGCATTTGTTTTTTGTCTATGATTGCCAACATTGCTTTACTATTTCATAACTCTGGAGAAGTGAGGACTTGGATGGGGAGGGAGAGATTGAGTGTGCAACATGGCAGCTTCCTGCTGGCTAGCTGCTTTGTCCTTTGACATGGGTGACTGGGGCTCTGCATTCAAAGCGAAGCAGGGATCCTTGAGGCCCTCAGATGGAAGTGTGGCAAAGCACCCTCTTCCCTAATGACTTTTTGTAAACTGAGGCAAAATTTCACATAGAGGTGCCCTATCTCAAGTTTCTTGAGTTGTCTCTCTTTCTGTTCATCCATCCATCCATCCGTCCATCCATCCAGCCAGCCAGCCAGCCATCCATCTATCCATTCAGCCATCCTTCACTCTCATCTTTTGACCTTCCCCTCTCCCTACAAAGATATTAATAAAGGATAAATAGAAGACAATGGCACCATGGTGTAAGTAGAGCATGACTTGAGGCTGGGGAAGGATGCTAAGGACAACGAAAAGGGGTTGGGGATTAGGTTTGTTTTTTTAAAAGCTTTGTTAGGGGAAAGAAAGTGACCCAAGAAGGGACAAGAATGGCCGATGCCAGAGCCCTGAACTCGGAGGGAGCAGATGTGTGTTCAAGTCTAGTCTGGGGATTCTTTTCCTTAGCTTTGTGACTCTGAGCCATAGTAAGCACTTAATAAATGCTTGTGGACTGGCTGATGCCTCAGCTAATTAACTTATAAAATGAGATAACAGGGTAGGTTAAGTGGTGTATAGAACACTGGCCCTGGAGGCAGGAGGACCTGAGTTCAAATCCCCATCTCAGATACTTACTAGCTGTGTGACCCTGGGCAAGTCACTTAACCCAGATTACTTCCATTACCCCAGTGAGGTAAGAATGTAAGCCCTGTCTAATGCCCGGAGTTGTGAGGAAAATGCTTTGTAAACTATGAAGCACTGTTGCCCCTAGTGCCAGTGCTCAAATTAGCTCCAGTCTCTCCTGTCTGTAGCTTGCTTGTACCTAGATGTTTGCATGTTTTCTCCTCCATTAGATTGTGAGTTCCTTGAAGGCAGGGACTGTCTTTTGCCATTCTTTGCACATAGTAGGTACTTAATAATTGCTTCTCGATGACTGGACCGCTCAGATAAGAATGTGGTTAAAATCATTTATCTCTTTCCTCTTACTCCTGCCCCACCTGACCCCTTGACTTGAGTTAGATTTATACGTGGCGCCCTGATTGAGTATTCCTCTGACTCCATCCACTTGGCCACATTGCCTCTTGCAGGAGTCTCCACAGGAAGCTGAGGCTTGGCTTGTTGACCTCTCAAACTTGTTTCTGGTCAGCCTTAGGATTCTCTGACCGCTCTTTGTCCTGGCCTTGGTTAGGGCACGGGAGGAAGTTGTTGGGAAGGAAGCGCATACCTGGGCCCTTCTGAGGAGAGCTGTGAGCTCCTTGTTAAACGCCGCCTGAAGCCTTCTTTTATAGGTTGTTAAGTACAAAATTGGCTTTCTGGGCTTTCGAGGCTTGTTCTTTATGGCAGGAGGAATGAAGGGGCAGGGGCTTAATTTCTCTTATAAAGTGAGTCTATGGGTTCATCTGTCTTGGCTTCAGAAAGGTCAGTTTCTTTGTTTTTAGAGTTTCTTTCTTTTCACTTTCAAGAGAGACTGCTCAAAATGGTGCAAGGAGAGAAATGGAGTCCAAGTTCTAATCCTACTAGAAGGGGAGCCCTGTAAATACACATGTATATGTATGTATGTATGTGTGTGTGTGTGTGTGTGTGTGTATGTATATATGTATATATATATATATATGTCTTACTTGGGAGTCTTTATGTGTCTACGTCCCAAAAGAGGGTTCCTCACACACTCTGTATCCAGCTGTTTGAGCATAATGGAATGTGATTAATGGATTTTGGAAAGAATGAATGAAGGAAGCAGCAATTATGAAGTGTTTACTATGTGCCAAGAAATGTGCTAAGCACTGGGGTTAGAAACGTGGAGGTCTTTGCCTTTTCTAGGGATTCTCTCTAATGAAAGAACCATCTCATCTACGTGCGTGGTGGTCAGGAAGGCCTTCTTGATCTTCCTCACACAATACAATCCGTGCCCTGATTCTGGTCATTTTCTCCGGCTGTGGGCCATATCTGGAATCCTCATCTCTGCCTCCTTTCAGCTCCCTTGGCTTCCTTGAAATCCCAGCTAAAAATCCCCCCTTCTATAGGAAGCTTTTCCTAATCCCCCTTAATACTAGAGCCTTCTCTGAGATTAGTTTGGATTTACTCTGTTTATATCTTGTTTGCATGTTCCCTCTTCCATTAGACTGTGAGCTCCTTGAGGGTAGGGACTGTCTTTTGCTTTTCTTTGTGTCCCCAGCACTTAGCACAGGGCCTGGCACATAGTAGGTGCTTAATAAAGGTTTACGGACTGACTGGAAAGGTACTGGATTGAGGATTGAATGAGGCCCCAGAAGTGTAGGTTGGCATGCCCTATCCAGGAGCAACAGAAGTATTGGTTTGATTATGGTTCAGTAAGTAATGATGGCAGCTTGGAGGTGGAGTTTACTTGTGCAGTGTCAAGGTAGCTGTGAGAAGAAGGCTGAGGAGTGGAGTGGGGCATGGTTGGAGCCGGGCCTCCTTGTACTGGGTGACTGGGGTAATGACTAGTCAGGACCCTGAGGCAGGAGTTTCTGGAGGTGAAAGGGTTAAATCCTCTGGGGCATGGTGTCTGGTCAGGGAAGTGGAGAATCCAGATAGGGGATCTTTCCACTAAACTTAGTAGGTAAGTTCTAGAAAGTTTCCT